CACGGACACCGGCCGGAGCCCCCCCCCTCTCACGTAACCACTAATGCCAGCACGCACGCAATCAGCGCCGTGCAGGGGGCGTCGCCGCCTCCGCGCCAACCCACGTGGCACCCAAGGCCGGCCGCGCGCCCCGCCCGGGCCGCACTCCCAGGTGAAGTCACGTACACGCTCTCAGGCGCTGCGGCCCGCCCTTGGTCTGTTCACCCTACCCAGCCTCCGCCTCGCCGCCCTTCCCGGCCTCCGCACCTGCGCGTCCCGGTCCGGAATCAGCGGGACTCGGAGCCGCGTTCACCCGCGGATGCTAACGCGCGCACCCGCGCCTGCGCACTGCGCACTCACTCCCAGAAGCCTCCGGGGCGCCGCGCGGCTCCGGGCGGCCACGCCCTGGCGTGCGGTGGGGAGAGCCGGGCGACGCGGGCTGCGATCTCTTCTTCCCCGAGACGAACTGGCCCGGGAGAAGGGTGGAGGGATGGTCCTCAGACCCGGGTGGAATCTCACTGGCGCCTTCATCCATCGAGGAGCCTAGAGTTCTTTGGCGGCGCCGAAACTACATTTCCCAGGATTCCTTGCGGCCGTTGCCATGGCGACGCGTCAGGAGACGGCTGTGTGAGGTGGCAGCTGTGAGATCCTTCGTCTCAGAGAGAGCAGTGGGGTGCTGCCCGGCCTGGCCCTGCGGGCGTTTTTTTGTTTTTGTTTTTGTGTTTTTTTTGTTTTGTCTTTTTGTGAGTGTGTGTGTCCGCTTTTGCAAAATGGCAAGAACGTTGGAACCTGTAGAGAATTTTTAAAGTATTTATCCTGCTGCTGCTGGGCTCAGCGATTGAGCATCGTGCCTGGTGCGATTCCTGGCGAAGCACGAATTTTAGGGGGATCTAGGCAGGCTTAGGGAAATTTTTTTAAGAATTGGGGTCCATGAAAAAAAAACACAGAGAGAAGGTATATTTCCATCACACAAGGAAGCCAGGAGCAGTCACATCTCCATAAGACAAGGAGGCGGCAACAGGTCTATTTCCATAAGACAAGGGAACTGGGAGTAGACTAAGTCTTTATTTACAAAATAAAGAGAAGGAAGCCCTTCATCCAGAAGGAGAGGAAAGCCCAAAGGGAATAGGAAAACAATAAGGAAGGGGGGAGGGGAGAGCCTCACATGTCCCATGTGATGTTCAACCTTTGAGCCCAGGAGTTACTATAGTAACCAGTCCAAGGGAATAGTGACCAATCAGAGAGGATATCGGGGCACCAGGATCTGCAGCCATTATAAGCCATGGAAAAAGGACTTCAG